GATTTAATTTAATTTAATAACCGAAACGGTCGCTTCGCGGAAAGTGGATCAAGTCCGCGTGCTCGGATTGCATGCGCGTCTAATAATCCGCGCCGGCTTTGTACCTGAGAAACGCACAAGTGGGAAAATGAGCAAAACGCGCGGAAAACGAAAGTCACACACCGCGCTGAAGTTGGCGGGCGCCGACGGAAGCGAAACGGAATAAAACTGGAAGCGCGCTGTCGTGTACTATATAGTTTTATTTCGCCGGTCGTTTATATTCATCGCGTCGTCCCGTAAGTGGATGTGTGCATATGCACCCGCGGCCGAATGGATTTTATGCACCGGCATTGTCGTCGACGAAATCAAACTAGTCGCTACCACAGCGCCCGCGGCGCCTCCACCAACGTTAATTTGCATTTTGCAAAGGATACACTCTATCAAAACATCGACTTTTACATATGTAGCATTATGTAACGACATAATTCATGCTCTCGCGATTTTAAACACCCACGAAATTAATTAACACTTCGTACTTAATATCGCATCAATTTTTCACTTGCATTTCACAACGAATTTGCGCGCAAATCTGTTTCTTCTGCCCGCTGTAAACAAACAGCAGTAATATTACGCTAATTAATTTATAGGATGCTTCCAGGCACAATGGGCCGGGCGTGCGCGTGTTCCCCATTAAATATTACGCTTCTATTTATTAATTATGAATCGCGACGCTCCTTTGAATTCAGTTTAGCCGGACGCAAATAAACGGTAATAATGATTTAATTGAAATTCGATTGCCGTGATGAATAAATAATTTTTCGTCGTATTAATTTATTGATGTTTGGAGTAATGATTTAATTAAATCATTCAGAGTTAGTTATCAACGCGCCAACTTTTATATCATTTATTTTCGTTCGGTGAGAGAGTGAGGTATTAATGCCAATTTTCAGCCGTACAAATATCCAATAGTTGCACCTGCTAATAAACAAATTCGAAACGAGCGCATCACTGGTTTTATATTTTATTTTGTAATAAAAAGCATACACGCAAAAATGATTTGATTTTTTAAGCAGGTGCGCGCTTATATAAATCTGGTATTGCGGGCGGAAAAATGGTTGGAAAATTATTGAGGCATTAGACCTCGAGTAGTGGAATGTCAAAAGTTTAATTAAAATATTTTTTGCTTCCTGCAAACGCACATAATGCACTTAAAAGCGAATAAAAATGTAGCGCACGTATTATGAAAAGACGGTTTTAATAAAATAGTTGGCCCGAGTCGCGGAGTGAAAAAATGCGCGAAATAAAAGAAGCGCAGCCGTTTTATGAGAATGCGTTGTATTATAATTATAAATTTTATTATCTTTATAATTTTCTATATAATGAGCTTTCGGTGTATACGTTTACGTACATTTTGTTTCATTGCGGTCGCCGCGGCGTTGTTTTCTTGTTGGGCTTCTTCCTGTTGTAGCGCATTGTCTTGCCCTACGCCTTATTTATTTTATTGCTACGGTCGCGTCCGTCCCTGGTCGCGTGTCGTACGGACCTTTTTTCGCAGCGCCCGTTCGTTTTTAGTACATTTCGTCGGTTATTTACAATTGTAGAATTTTCACAATTCTCACAATTTTCGCAGCCGTCTCGTTCGCATCATATTATATATTGGACATTACACTCGACCTTATTCATAAATACGGCACGTACACACGCTCAGGCGGCGGTGTACGTGTCGGATGGTCGGTCGCTGCCGCCAGGCCAACGGGTTTTAAATGCATTGCGATGTTTATATCTGCGCTAAGTTCGCTTTATTTATATACGAGGAGAAGCGCGAGCGCGCATGATATACGGACGGCATATATTCGCTTCTAAGTGTCTTTACGCTGCCTCCTTGCAAGCCGCCGCCGCTCCCAACGGCGCTACGTTCGAATGGAAATAGACATAAACATACTCGCGGAATATATTGCGTTTATATACAACGGTGGCGCGCGCGCGGCGCACTTGTTTTCACTGTTTTGAACACTGTGTTTAGTGCTCATATCGAATGTCTTCCGAATCTATGCTCCGCCGCCGCCACCGCCGCCGCCGCCGCTGCACACACGCTCGCCGTGTAAGTTTAATACGCGCACATCCCGTTTCATAAAAGGGTTGTGTGATATATTTCAGTCTGGTGTATGGTGACGCGACTCGCCGAACGTCCTCGCCGCCGTCCTAATATGCCCCCATCGGCGGCGCGCTCTCATTTTCGCCCAAAGAAACGTCCGCCCGTCCGCGTGTAAGTGAATTTATAGTCGTAGTGCGGTTTCTAATGGGTCCGTTTGCTCGCCGGGCGCATCCACCCCCTACGCGCGCGTCGTCAGAAGTCGGGCGTGTAACGTCGCCGCTCCCGATGCGCGCATTTACAATGTCCTTACATTACAGGCCAGGACTCCGCCGTTAATTAAACCCGTGTTTATTCGAGCCTTTTACGTTTTGAGAGCTTTTTTAAGTGCGTCATATTTCGGCATAGTATCCCGGCGCATCCGCACTATGTTTTATATAGCAGTAGAAAAATGCGTAACTTGATTTCAATTTGACGCCCACGGCTCTGCTTTCGGAAGTGCCATTCTCTAACATAGTGAGGTGCCATCCATCTAAAACGTTATACGGCCGAACCGGACCCGGGCTCATTGATAATAACGAAGTAAATTACTTCATGAAGGCATACACTGCTACAGCGTCCCTGTGCGCTAACAGGAGTAGCGCAGCTCTTGAAAGGCCCTGTCTGATACGAGGACGGCGGCATTGGGCGGCCGAACCAAATTAGTGTGTTTCACGAGCGCGCTGAAAACCAACATTATATTTACGTCACTATATTGTCACACATCTCTATAATTTTTACCACAATTTTCACTTAAATTAAAATTTGCTCATATTTTGAACTAGTTTATGTTTTAACTAGTAAAACCAAAAACTAATAAAATATATCTGTTGAATTCCGGTCTGTATCATAAATCAAACATGTTTTTTTTATTAAAAAAGGAGAAATAATTAAGTGTAGTAATGTGCTTTTTGTGATTTATCTGATTTGGTTGGTTTTGATACACTCCCGGGTCAAACTTCATCTCATATGAGTCCATTTTCGTCTGCTAATATAAAACCCGTCGACTAAAAACTAAGGAGGACGCGCTCATATACGAGGATACTAAAGAGTAATGGCTGGCCGGGAGCAGCACGACGCAGACACAAAGTAATAGCAACACTGTCGACACTAACGACATTAAGTGTAACAAACAACAGTTAGTTGATACTCATACTCATAAAACAGGCGCTCGCGGCTCGCAAGAAGTCCTTTCGACTTCGGTTCACTCGTACTCGGCCTCTAAGTGCCAGCCGGGCAGACTTTCGAGTCATACGGGAGCGCGCGCGGCGTGCATTCCCGCTACGCCACACCGCTAGTTACCGAAAACGCGTGCGTGTGTATTGGCGCATTTAGCAAGCCGGAATTAATTGCGCGCGAATCGTACCAGAGCGCAATTGTCTCCTGCATTTGGGAGTGCAATTTGTAATTTGTAATTTCCCTACCAAGTGCCGGGCGTAAATTGCGCGCCAACTCTCTATACGAGCAAAAGCATGTCTCAGTTGAATATTGCGCTGTTGCGCAAACACTCGGTATTATTAGTTAGTCTTTTAATATTAACTTATGAGCCACTAGCCAGTAGACCATTGCCATCACGACTCTGCTCATATGAGTTCGCACTTATTTCTCACGTGATCACTGCTGGCGACGCAGCGCGTCCGAGAAATGCAGAAATAATGTACTATAAACAGATAAAGTGAAACATATAATAGTTGTTGAAACGTGCGCATAAAGGATCCGGGACGTAAACGCAAACATCGCGCTGTAAAGCACAAAGGCAAAGACAAAGACTAATATGGGCCGAGGGGACGTGAAGGCGCCGGGCAAGCGTGCGGCAGGGGCGAAACTAATATGAAGTTTACTTGATAATGGATGTGAAGAATGTGAGAATGTGCAGAAGTTGTTTTTCTTCGTTTTCCCGCTTTCAAGATGTCTTATTGTGTACAATGCGCGCCATAGTTTCCCCTCAGCAAAACAAAACAGATGTTTCGCGCTGTTCCTCATGGTAAAATTCACCCCTGTCGGACCGAACCATGCATATCGGCACACGCTCTGTGTTGAAATATTTTTATTCGTAAATATTAAAAAAGTTAAAGCTGTTGGGGTTCATATTGTAAAAGGAAAACGTATTACTTACCTTTTGACGGCATTTTTTCGCCTAAAATCAAACACATCGATTTGGTTAGTTGCTAGATCGCAACGCGATTTGGAATTATTATCGCTGCAGGGCGTGTGTAACAACCGCCGCTGTCGATCTCGCCGTTACAATTCCATTATGCGTTGTCGGTTTTTTTTCCGCGCTTTTTTTCATCAAGCGTTATTTCTTTATCAGGCGATCGGGCGTTGCGTTATTTATTGCCGCAGCGAACAACAACGACAACACGTGCGGCGTGCCGTCGGGGGCGCGGCGCATGTAACTCGTCCGGCGTCAGAGGCGGCGGACAACAGCTTGATGCGTGAAATTGCCGGCGGGCAGCATCGCGCGCGCCGCCCGCCTCGATCGGAAATTGCTCGAAAATTGATTACCTTATCGGCAATACACAATTCTGCCCGCGCGCGCCAACATTTCAATACACAGCCCCGGCGTGTATTCAGTGTACGCGTAATTTTCTTCCTCCAGCGTCGAACGCACTACATTTTATTAGATCTCGTGGCTGTCGCGCGCGCGGTTCTTGGCGCTCGAAACCAATTACATTAGAATTACTGATAAACGAGTGCTTAATTAATCAAATGTTTGCGAAACATTTCACACAAATCGGTTGCGGCATAATGAGTTCCAGCGCGCTCACGCTGCCGGGGGCGGCGGATGTGTGTGGGTGTGTGTGTGTGTGTGAGACTATGAAGGTGTGTATGTGTGTATGTGTGGCCGATGCGGTTGGCATCGTACTCCATTAGATCCTCTACGTTTACATTATTCTGTTGACGTTCATATTTATTTATTCGTTTATTTACAAATTAAAACTTTCAAACTGCATTTGCATATTTGCTTATTTGTTTGTTTAATATAATTGTGTTTTGCGAATCGAATTCGAATAAAATCGTTCGCGCGCTTGTTTTACAATTTTCCATTATACATTTCGGCGGTGTGCAAAGTTTATAATCAAATTTATCAGTTCATTTTCAATCAAACTGAATTATTTTCTACATGGTTATTAATTTCAGTTGGGTGCCACATGCAGTGTGTGTGTGTGTGGGGGTGGGTTTCAGGGCTGGGTGTTACACAAAACGTATGTTACCTCGGACAAATACTTAGATTTTAACATTACAATTACATACTAACATAGAATAATAATAATAATATGGAAATTCTGAATTTTAAAGCTGTCTGTTATTTTTTTCACCTTTCTTCTTATTTGCATCATTTACGTCCTTGTCAATCTCGGTATTCATAATGCTGTTGGTGAAATTGTGTGAAGTATTAGGCGGGCTTGTCTCCAAAACTAATAATTTACACATTAATTGCGGTCGCCGCGTTTTTCCTCGAAAATCTCCAATAAATTATGCATTTATCATGTACGTACGTATGGAAAGAAGTAAATATCTTATAAGTTATAGGAGAGCTGTGGCGCTACTTGGATTAATAGATTTACTACTCGTACACGTTTAGACGGCCGCATATTAGTTGTTGTCGTAGTGATAGTACATGAGTAATAGTAAGTTAATGGCGAGGATTTGAAAGTTTCGGCAACTTAAGTAACTAGTTAAATAACTTCGCGACGCGCTGCGGCGTGCGTGCGCGCCGAAAGTGAAACGCGCCGCCGACGACGACGACGACGACGACGCATAATCGGGCCAATGGAGCTTCTCGTTGTTTACCTACGCCAACAAGCAGTCGAGATTTAGGCAGTTTATAATTAAAAGCAAGCAAGCAAGCAGCCGAAGTCGACGCGGCGCGCAATCCATGCCAAGGCACGTTTCGCCCACCAATCGCACAACACTTTGCATGCCAAGCGCACAAATTTGACGAAAAAAATCTACACTTACCTGCGCGGTGCGCGATCGAATGATCACCGTGTGCCCGACAGTCTGCGGCTGGACCATTGGCATCGCCGGCAGTGTACTGGCGCACTGCACCATCATCGCCCCAGCGCCTTGAAGGTGTCTTCTCTCGATACGCATTCGTAGTGGTTGCGTTCGTTTCGCCAACACAATGGTGCTCCTCTGATTGGTGCTGCCATCTACGTTATGCTCGATACCGTTGTGATCACCTCGCGATGATTTTTCGTTTACTTGCGTCGTGGACGCCTCGCCGAGTATCTCCGCGGGCGCCTGCAAGATACCAAGCAAACAAACCGTTCATACTACTGATACACATGCACTTCGCAGAATAACACAACACCTGAGCGCGAACGATTTATTTAGTTGGCAATTACACTTCGACTCGAACAGAGAAACATGTTGTAGCCGCGATCCGGCGAATCGCGCGCATTGCACGACCTCCTTTCCCGTCGTCGATACTTCCGACGCGAACGACCGGGAAATATAATTCGAGCTTTATTTTATTTCTCCGCTGCTAGATGTCTTTACGATTATTTAAAATACCTATAAATAAAGAATGGTTGCACGCGATTCAATAGAAACATCGCAAAAGATTGCTATCTTGAATTACATCCATCTCGAGTTGTATTTTCGAGCATAAATGCGTGCTCGCAACACGCTGGAGGCGGGCGCAGGCAGCGAGAATACCAAAAGATACTCCTAGAAAGAAAATATAATATGACCGTTAACTTTTACAGTGTTTTCTCTTTTCGTAGTCGCTTTCGGCGTGTGTGTGTGTGTGTGTGTGTTTCTTTTTTCGTTTCTGCGCGCTCGGTTTTCGAGGAAATAAAGGAACACTTTGTAAATTTATGTACATCGATTCTTCAACATCAAGGACAGACACACGCGCGGAAGGAGCACACGCACTAGTCTCGTTGCTCACGTCGACCGTCGAAGGTTTCTTCTTCGTGATGGCGCAAATTGCTAAGTCCACCACTTGTTCTCCACTTGTGCGCGCAACCCCGACCACTCAGATTACCTGAAGCGAGAGAAAACTGTCAGGTGTGATATTCAATGGGAAAGTTTTTAATTGCAGAGCTAAGTGGAGAACGGTGGTATGACTTTTTCAATTTTCCATCATGCTGGGCTACAACGTGGCGATGAAATAACAAAGTTGGCGATTTTAATTCGATCTTGCACATAGAAATCACATACCACCATTTTTCAGATAACTCTCAATTAAATTTCATATACTTACGTTATTGTTGCGTATCACCCGCCGTCGACGACGTTTTGTGGTTTCCTTTCGTTGCCATCGCTGTTTGAACATTCTGACAATTTACAGCCGAATTTATTCATGCATGACTTGTTTTTATTTGACTGCCGCGAAGTTTGCAACATTCTTCAGTCGTCGAGTTCGCAGGCTGCGGTGTCGCCTCGACCATCAATTTCACCTGTTAATTAATATTCACCTCAAACTCCCGGCGCGTTCCCACGATCGCGTTCGCTCGCTATGCAGAAGAGCAGTCGCGTTCGAAGAAAGCAGAGTAATCGCTCGTGCACATAGTTGCCGGCCCCCGGGGGCGCGCTCGCTCGCTGTGTGTACTCGGAAGTCATAAAAAGCGAAACTTTTACGAAAACGAATTTATATTTCCGCCGCCGCGCGTTTTATTTCGCCGCGCGCGCCTGGACGTATTTATTTATCCATTTGAAAAGCAAGATAAACGACGAAATAATATGATCAATAGGCAGGAAATCCCGGCCGAAACTTAAACTTTCATCGACTTATTCGCCGCCGCCGCGCGACATGATCGATTGACAGCCGATGCGCGGCTGCGGCTCGACGCCGCATCGCAATGACGAAAAATGATAAATATCTTCTCTGCGCCGCTTCATTTTATTATTCATCCGTACGTAACTTATTCATAACTTTATAAGTCGCGCTGTTAAGAAGTTACGCGTGTTGCGGGCTGGAAGAAAACTTCTTGCGCGCGGAAATCCATCGCGCGACTCTAAACTACGATGCACTCAAGTCGCCGGCGCAGATATGAAAAATGATCCGAATCATAGACACGCGAATGGTACAAATCGGGCGCGTAAATTGCACAATTCAATCACACTGGCCCGCCACCACCACCACCACCGCGTCTTTTATCTTCTCTCTCTTCATTCATTCATATTCGATGCGTCCGACTTCGATATTTTCTTATTCAGTTGCGACTGTAGCATGTCGTCCGTCGTGCGCGCTTTATTCTAATGCGCTCGATTCTTTATGCCGCCCGCTTTTATTCCAGCTTCAATCTGGCTGCCGGAATCGTTGAATGCCGATGAATGCTGTGAATGCGCGGCTTCGAAATTATGAATGCCGAATGTGTTTGCGGTGGCAATTGGCAATTTGCGTGACTTCTAAACGCCATCGTCGCATAACAGTGACGAGTTAATGACGCGCATGATTCGAAAATGATCCATTCACGCTGCGCCCCCGCGCGCGCGCTCTATTCTGTTACAAATTATACACTAGCGCTTTTAGTTGCCTCACGCCTTTCAACGTGCGAGCGCGTGCGACCCTTTTTCACAGATCTCACAGATTTGCCGTAATCACATCTGAATGCCTTCGCATTGCGAGCGCGCGATATTAGCACACATATTTCATGCTAATTAGTTGTTTCGCGTCGTGTGTATAATTAGCTCGGCGCGTACCGAGGCACGTTCCACGCACGCCGCCTCATCTCGCAATTCCGATGCAAGCCAGCCCCGCTCGTCGTGTCTTGCTCCCAAAAATGGAAAATTTCGCTAAATAATTCACGAGTTTTTTGCGCTCCTCGCTTCGAATGTAATCGATTCGATTTGCATTTCGAAGCAACGCGCTCGAAATCGAACGGGGCACTCGAAATAACTACGAGTACGAATCGAATTAATCGAGTTTATCGAATGGAAAATTTAAATTTAAATACAAATGAAAATAATGAGAGGAAATATGCTGCTTTGCACGGTGGCGCTGCACGTTAAACGTCTCAAAGAAAATTACAGAAACAAACCGAGGAGTAGTAGTAATAATAAAGTTTTTTTTTGCGACTCCCAATTTGAATATCCCTCTCGAACCCCCGAAGAAGTGACACAGTTTAAATTGGTGCGTCGTTTCTTTTTTATTGTGATGAATATTCATTGAGATTCATTTGCGCGCCGCTGTCTGGCGACGGGAAAAAAAGCAGATTGCAATTTTGCTCCGGCAAGGAGAGTCGACAAATTAAATTCGTAAAATGTGCGCGCGCCAAACAAAACAAAATCTCATTATCAATTTTTATGATTGCTTAATTAATGGCTTGATTACGGCGCAGCGCGCGGCGCATTACGGCGGTATTCAATCGATCGAATCAATCAATCAATCACTGTATGGACAATGAAGGCGCACAAGGCGCGCATCTCCGCGTATTCTCGCGGGGCATGCCGCTCGACTAACTTATTACTAATTAATTAGTTCGCGCTCTCACGGACGCCTGCGGAGCGGCGCCTCGGAGTGGCGGTTGCTAGGAAATGCAGCATTTATTAATACACCTTTCCGAAATTATTAATTGCTCCCCGGATCAGTTACTCAATACACCACGCCGCACAATGGAGAGATGAGGGCGGCATAGGCGTGAGACAAAGCATAAAGTGTTCACCGAAATTCGCCTACCGAGTCTTTTGGTCCCGACGAGCAGAAATCAAGCGCTGGCATAACATAACCAAACTTTTACACCATATTTTGAGGTTATAATTTACAGCTATCGCAATATGTGTACAATTGGTTGCAGATACTCAAAAAAAAATCTGCTGTCAGTTGATTGGAATACTTGTAGTTCCTTACAGGATTTGATAGACTGTTGATTAGTGTAGTGTTTAATACGAACATGGTATAATATGGTATTCAGTGTAATGACCCAGGGAGGATGAGTCGCTACCTGATAGAATGCGGCCCTGATCCCCATTCATCTCGGCGTTGTTTCGCCGCTGTCGATGCTGATGTTGATCTTCGGGGTTACGTACCCCTTGCCCGCCATACATTATGCAAGTACGTGCGCCTTTTACGTGCGCGCGTATATAACAATATCGATCAAATTTCGCCGCGCGCACCGATCAATTCGGATTACCGGCGTGTCCTCGTCGCCGCCGGCGTCGTTATTTATTATCTATCAGGCCAGATAATAACGCGGCGCGGGCTTTCCTCCGGCCTGGCCCGCCCGCGCTCACATTAACGCCTGCAATAACGGCAGTGCGCTTAATACCTGCGAGCGTGTTGTTACCTCTCACGTGGTAAGTAGTGCGAGAGATGCACGCGTTTCATGGTGAAAAGCGAAAATTTGCCTGGCGGCCGAACGGCGGGAATTGTGTGCGTCGTCCCGGGCTTCCGGGTGGAAGTGGATGCGTCGTGTGTCGAGGACGCACTCGTTTGTGACGGGAATGCCGAGTGCATTGTTGCAGTACGCGTTCATTTACTAATCGTTTGCTAATTAATTAATTATTAATTATAACGTGGAACGTTATCAGGGCTTCACCACACGCTGCTTAAAGCTCTCTCAGCTAATGTATAAATTTTACTCAGAATTGTTTACCGGATCAATTCGTGGAAACCAACTTCAAAATTAACTTTACACAATTCTTCATTTTACGCCGCTTGCTCTTTGATTTAATAACACCTGGTGAGCTAAAACCTCGCTCATCGGCAGTCCGCGCATGACTTAACGAAAACGCAGTCTCCACATCAGCGTATTATTGAATAATTGATTAATTAATAACTAGTTACGCGGCTGAGCGCGTGCAAACTCACCGGCTGGTTGTTGATGTACCAGGTGAGCTGCGGCGTGGGATCGCCGGCGCCCGAAACGCATTCGAGGGTTAACATGTCGTCCACCGCATACGTGTCCACCAAGCCGGTGATGCGAGGTAGGTCCAGCGGCAGCGCTGCACGCAAAACAGAAGCGTAAACATCGTAATGCGTGCGTTTGGCGTGAAAATAGTGTGGCGCACATACTTGCAACGGTGACGCTGTGGGTCTCCGAGGCAAGTCGGAAGGCCGGCGCTTCGGTGGACACCTCGCAGCGGTAGGCGCCGCCGCTGTGCTCGCGGGTGAGATTCGTCAGCCGCAGCTTGCATCGCGTCTCGTCGCACTGCGTCGCCGAGGTCTGCATGTGCACGCCCGCCACCGGATACATGATCGTATGCGGCTGCTGGTGGGGCTGGAATCTGTAAGTAACGACGCAACAATATAAGCCAGCCGAGCTTTCGAAAACGCAGGGATGTCGTAGGTCGATCGATCGATCGCCCTCGGACCGTAATCTCCGCATCGCGGGACGCCACTCACCTGAAAAACTCCTGATCGTCCTTATACCACTTGACGGCGTAGAGCAGCTCAGCGCCCATGTCGAAATGACAATCCATGTGCATGTCGCTGCGCGTATCGGCGACCAACGGCGCTGTCATGTTCGTCAGCCGCAGGCCACAAGCTAAACAAAAAGCAAGCATTTGAACCGTTTGTGACATGTCTCCGAACGATCGCACTACTCTTAAATCGACGGACAAAACAATAATTGGATGTTGAGGAGGCTTGCGATTTTAAATCCTCGCCCGTAGGCTGTCACAACAAACATTTTCAAAGCGGACCTAAGCTGAATAATGAATTCTCGCGCACGTAACCGGAGAGTCGATGTACGCCGGTTTTGATAGGCAGAAGCACAAAAAGTGTCACCGATAAAACGCGACACGGTCGTCGGCTACGGCGTAATATGATACGCCTATGATATGGGTACGAGGCGGTTGTGAGCGATGCCGATGCCGCCCCGCCGATAGAAGCGAAATTTTTAGTTGCGGCGCTTGCAACTTTTACGCTCGAATGAATTTTACGCAAACATCATCGGTGTCACCACAGAGGCATCACCAACGCGTGTCACCATTCAGGAGAGGCGGGGGAAGGTTGGTATCCTTAAAAATGAGAGAAATCTGCAGGGAAACGCCGAAAAAGTTCATAAAAGTTACGTACCGTTGCGAATAAACCGTTTGTAATAATTATTCGATGGATGGGATAAAGTTCAAGAGCAATATATAAGTAATTCAAGTCGAACAATGAAAAATTAGATTTTACAGCCCAGGCACTCTAGTGTATCTAATTTTTATTAATATTTATTAAGAAAAAATAATTTTTTTCTTCATTTTACTTTTCTTTTTCTTTTTTATATTATCGATTTAATTATTGAATCTTTGACTTTTTGCAACTTCAATGTCGTGACACATGAATTACTAGTATTTTAAAAGTCGGCGATTTTTCACGAACGCGTAATTTACATTGATCCCATCCAATCTGAAATCAGCGCGCGCGGCGCGTCATTAATTTTTATGCAGAATTTTTTTCCAGAAATTTATTACAGACTGCCTTACACGCACATCAAATCAGTCAGTCACGGTGCCAAACTGCCACGCAGCATATCAAACGTTATTGGTTTCGCGACACGTTGCGAAAAAAATTCGCACACGCGAGTTTCATTGGAGCGCGATGGGATGTTTCACTTCATCTGAATGATCAAATTATCTCGAATCGAAACGAAACGAACTCTCGTAATTACGCCGCCGGATTTGAACCCGTTCGCTCATCTCTCGCGGCGTAGAAAAGTGCGGAACATGTGTTCGATTCAAGAAGCAAGCACAAATGTAATTAAAATATTTCATGGCTTTTGTAGGACGACGCTCGGCGAAATGTCGAAATGATGTGAAAATTATTTCTTATTGGAATTCCGCCGGCGTGGCGCGGCATTCCTCTTGGATTGCCATCAGAAAATAAAGAACGGAAATGGGCAAAATAAAGAATAAGATTATGCCCAGTGAGGAAGCCGTGGAAATCGTCGCGCGATATAAATCAAAATAATTTATGATCATTAAGCAAATCAAATCTTCACGCATCGGCGCACGCCAAACGCATAAAACATTCAGTTTTTCGCCCGGGCATTGTTCGCCGTTTGAGGAGCATTTTTGAGGAATTGCATTCGAGCGCACGTAATTTAAATATTATTTTCTGTAGTTTATTGCATCTTTGTGTCTTTCGCTTCCGTTCGGCGCGGAGGACGAGCGCGATTATAAAGATTCGAGGCTTTCATTTTAGTTTCATAGATTTATATTTTCATTTCCATTTCAATTTCCTTTCGATTTGCGCATCACGGCGTGCACGAGTTGATGTGTTTTTTTTTTTGTTTGTGTCCAATTAGAATGCATTTTTGTGACAGCAAACATACAGGCTTTGAAAGAACCAATAACAACGTGCTCGATGATGTACAGAGCAAAGAAACAAACAGACCAAATTAATTGGTTCACAATATGAGGCATATTGTACCTGTTTCTATGGGCTCGTTGAGTATTCGCGTCTATTGTTGTAGCGCATTGTGCACTGCGTCCATACAATGGTCCACAAACCACAACAATATTATGAATAAATCACCGCGCGCCGTGGTGGAATCAAAATCTCGACTTCGATGTCGAGATTTCGCCGCCCCACTAACTATAACGCAATCACGCGCATGGCAGTTATTCAAAAAAGAGGCACACATGCGGAGACGGCGGAGGACGCCCGCCGCGCTCGTAACACTATTCCTCTCGGCTCGCCGCCGCGAAGAAATCACAACCGAAAGACATAAAAATGCCCCTATCGCCCCAACCAAATACAGTAAATCGTCGAAATCGCATGGATACCAGTTACATTTTCGAGCGGTTCGCTCGGACTTATGCGAATAAGAAATAAGAAAACGCGCGTACCACCCGCGCCGCCTGCGCCGGCCGCAAGAAGAAGACAAAAACGACGCGAATTGCCATCGACGGGGCGATAAAGCGAGAAAAACGGCGAAAAAAGATTCCACAGCGACCGAACGCCAGCGATGAAATATACAGAAGAAATCGCAGTCGATCGGGGGTCGGAACGATACCGCCACCGCCGCTGACGGGGAGGAGAGGTCGCCTACGTGTGGATGGGAAATAGTTAAAAAGAAATGAAAAGAGAGGCAATAGAAAGATGAGGAATGGGCGTTTGGGTCGCGTTTTATGGGGTTATGATTAGCAAAACTTTATCCACAATTCTTTCCGCTTTATTTTCCCCGGCGTTCGCCACCAGCGCCTCGTTGCCTTCGCCGCCTCCGCGCATACACATGCCTTTTATGCGTTCCTTACACTTTCGGAACTTTCTCGCATGAGTTGAAATTGCTGTGTGTTTTATGATTGTGTATTCTTTGCGCGCTATATTAGTCTGATTCAGGATGGGGGGGGGGCGGCGCGGAGCTGTGGTAGCATCTTATTAGGCTATTATTGTACGCTTGAATTTAATCAAACATTTCCGACAGGTGAGAAATCATTTGCGACGGGACTAGATGGCAATCGCAACTTTTACGCGCAAACAAGCGGAAATGTTCGACGGGGTGTGAGGGGGCGGCTGATAGTCAAAAACGTTTGCAGCACGCGCGATAACGCAGCACGCTCGAAATAAAAATGAAAAATTGGCGCCGGAGTGCGGTTTGAAGGTTATTAATAACAGTTGTTAGAGTTGTTAGTAGTTTTGCAGTCGCACGCATAGTTTATGTACTTTGGCGATATTTTCGGGCGCAAAAAATGACAGCATGCGCGGCAACGCAGCGGAACGCTCGGCGGCGGCGGCGCGCAAATATGCGGGAATAAGCGGGCATTCGTCGCAAGTAAGCCGGAATAAAAATGATAGCGAGCGCGCGCGGCCGGCTGGCGATGAGCGCAACCCGAGGGGGGCGGCGGTGGCGGCAGCGGCAGCAGCCATGAGCATAAAAAGTATTACGTATTACGGCCGTACTTCGAGCTCGCGCGGCAATAAATCATATCGCGCTGTACACAAACGTTTAAACGTTACACCGCGCATAATGCATAAGCAGGCGGTTTAACAACCGCCGCCGCCGCCGGATTCGAAGGGGCCGAAAGTTTGCAAACCGATGCGATATATTGAAACGCGAAGGTGGAAGACGTAATGCGCGGACGGATTTCCCGGCGAACGGAAAACAAACAGCATCCAAAATAAATACAAGCTGACACCGCCGTCAGTGAGATGCATATTGCTTCGGCCGCCTCATTTCTCCCAACCTCGAAATGATTGAGTAAACTAGTTGTTCGTACACTTACATCGCGATAGTAAATTCAAATTTTCCGCACGCCGGCGTGGTGCAAAGTTGTGAGATTTATCCGCGTCCGGTGAGACCTGCATGCCACCGCCGCCGCCGCCGCCGCCCCCCGCCTAAATAAATAACGCCGGCTTTATAACTTTAATTAATACGTATTTATTCGTTTCTGGAAGCACTCTCGAGGCACTAATAATTAATAGAATCATGAAAATTTATTCAAATAAAGTGGAATATCAAAACGCAGCCGTTTTATGCGTCTAGGAAGCATAAATGCGCGCGTAAACAAACGAAATGAAACAAAAAGCGTGGGCGGGCGGGCGCCGCTACACGCCCAAAACGCAAACACATAAAATCCTTGACTAATGGTACATTTTTTAATGCATTTTATTAATGTTGCTGCCCGGCTGTATATTCGTTTAGCTGATGGCGCCATCAGACACAATTTCAATTTTTCATGTTTAAATATTTTACGAGCACCTTTTCATTATATTTATAACGTTGGACACTATATGAACTATTGTTTATTTTCAATTTGTGCAAATAACAGTTGTTCGATGACTATTTGTTGATTTGTTAAAAATCAATTTACGTTTTCGCTGTGAATTATCCCGAATGAAAATAATGAACGGAAACGCTGAAAAATGTACGAGGAAGAGATCTTCATTAAAAAACAATCTTTTGAAGTAGATTCATGCCGTCCGAGAGATTCTTCTTTAATCAAATATTTTTTCTTTGAGTCTTTGACTTGTCTGGATTTGCACAGCACACAAGCTAAAATAAACTAGGTTTTTTGTATGCGCGGACTTTGCAAAGGGCAAATTTCTGCGCTGCCTTAATTAAACAGTCAAACTTTTTACGCCTTTTGTATCTTACTTGGTCATTAATTTTAGTTATAATTAATTTTTGTCACAAAGAAACTTTAAAACGCTGCGTTTTTCGCCGATGTCGATTTTGTCCGCAATAGAAACATTCGCAGGTTGCGGGGGTGTTGGGATGAGTTTTGGAATAGATATTCAAAGGACGTACCTGAATCAATCACGAGTGCAAAACTAATGGCCCATCTGATGGCCCTAATAACGGGTAAACTTTCCAACAACACGAATCCACTCCTCCTTTCTCGGCAACTCTTTTTCTTCGCCGCCACTTTCGCGAACGCGTCGCCTTCGTCCATCCGCCCGCCGTCATCATGCGCCACCGCTTCACCTTGCTGGCGGGTCATAACTTTTCGGCGTCGGGTCGCCGCACAACGCGTGGTGCGGCATTTGTTGTGCTCGTCGCCCGCCTGCATCGCAAATCGGAGTTGTTGCTTCGCGAAGTTTTTCCGCTGAGGCGCGCCGTCGACGCGCGTTTCCTCTCGCAGCGCGGCGATAGTTTCGGCGGTAATCTCGCGCGCGGCTTCCGTCACGGCATTCGGAAACGAGCGCATTTCCCGGCCGGCGTTGTTCTCCACACGTCGCGCTTACTTGCCCACCGTTGAACACGCGCGACGCGCGTCGCTCATTGTAAATCTGGTGTTGTAATACAAGTTGTCGCTGAGTTTCAAATGCGCTTAAAGTAACATCAAATTTATGTTTATTTTTTTTTTTGTGATAAGCGACGCGGTTTTGAATCGGTGCGCCTGTCGCGGTTGCAACGCGGTGAGGATAAAAGGGGCGTGACCCTTCTTCGCGGCGCGCGCGACGTTTTCGCCCGGCGGCGGTCTTCGCGCGATCTGCGGGCACGCGACGGCGGCGGAGAGTCTCGCGGCGGCTGGATGCTGGCCGTGGCCGTTGCCGGTGCGGAATGACGGCGGTAGCGAACGCGGCTGGCTTGCGACCACCGTCGGCGAGCGCCGCAGCGCCACGATCCGGCCCGTTTTCACGACTATCCGCCGCCGCCGCTCTCGCTTCTATCTGCTCGCTGCAGCCGGCTCCGATATCGCGCCGACTTGCAGTTGAATTTCGCAAATGTCAACGCGTAAATACCGGCATTTCTTTAATGTTATTATATTTTATTATTGCAAATTTGCTTTCACAGAGGAAATATGATATTATTACCAATTTATCAATTTAATTCTGATATGATAAGAGTTTAGCAAACATACATATTAATATCCGCTGATAAATCATGAAGTATAATTCGCGATTAGGCAAAGTTCAACAGCATATTTGTAAATAAATTTTAATATAGTGATTGTGGGCCATTTATGCATACATATTGCATGTTTTCGGCGGACACCGTACACCACTGTATCAATATATTAATAACTTATCGGTAATTAACGGTTTGGATTAATACATTTTGTAATCAAATAGAAACTGATTAAATTCTGCATAATATTAGTATCTTAAACCGAGCATTACTAATGTGGCTCTATTCCTATTGAATATTTAAATTTTAGAAAAACAGTCAGCAGGATAATCAACCAGGATGTTGAATAATATTAAAATATACAAAACAAACACAGAAATTTTGTGATAGTATATTAAGTATCAAGTAGCTAAACGAGGATTTTAATCACGAGACTGATTGAGAGCGAGTGTAGCAGCGCCTGCTTTGACTTGTTTGACTGCACCGTAGACAAATGCGCAATCGCAAGCTCCGCCCCGTGCATAACATCCATGACTAAAGTGCGGTTCGTGTTCAAAATAGCACTTTTTGTGTTTAAAAACCGTGGAAAAAGTTAAAAAAAAATCTAAAATTGCCATATTAAAGGTAATAATGTGTTTTTATTTTAATTCTTTGTTTATTCTTTTGTAAAAGACTGTAAAACTTATCTATTTAGTTACGTTGGCAGGTAAATTAGCGATTGTACTTTTAGTAGCTGGAGTGCAACACCATCAGTTGAAGCAAGAGCAATAAAACAGTAATTACGCTGCCCGCCTTTATGCGCGTGTCTCGAAATGACATATTCTATTAGTCGCTGATAATTAACATACGCCGCATACAGTCGCACACAGTCAATTGATGTTTGCCCGAGTGGACCTGCACTTACAGCGTGCGGCTTTATTCTTGCGCGCGCGTCGCCCTGGAAATTGCGGCGCGGGCCGCGGTTAATTGTGTTGGGCGGCTTGCCGCCGCCGCCACCCCCATAGACATATAAATAGATAACAAGAAACAATCATCGTGCGCGTGTGTGCGCACACAATCATACGCTCAGTGTGTGTGCCCGGCCGGATGAACACGCTGACGCGCGAATTCGGCGCGATTGTGACACGACTAATAACCGATCGGCGCACCAGAGTCGAGGGGATGATCCGGCATGCACGATTCTATATGATTTGTATCATTTAGTCCTCGTCATGCAATGACCAGCCGAAACACATTGTATGGCCTCTCTCTCTCCGCGAAACGAAAATCCCATTTGAATTATTGTGATTACATCTGCGCAATTTTCGCGTGCATATTCAGAATTATAGTGCAGTTAAATTCAGAATTTCCATTTCATTTACAATCGAAAACTAATTTCGCAATCATCAAAGGATTTACGGGCCGGCAAGAATTTGGCGAATACACCTCGACGATCGGCACCTGCGTCCTGCCGGACGACCGAGTTTAGCTCGTGAAAACAAATTAATTCCGCTTTTACTCGAAGTTGGCGCCGAATCCGCCGCACGCGCGGGTCATATTTAGGCGGCAGGTATTTATTTATTTATTTTGCGTAATTTGATTAATTCAGTAGCTCGCGCGACGCCGCCGGCCTGCCTGCGCCTCCCCGGGCATTAATTCGAACGCGTGCGCAAGGCGGGGCTTTGCTGTAAGTATTTATTTAATCCGGGCGTACTTGTTGTGTTTATGTATTTTCTAAATTCCGCTACAACGACTTACGGCGCGTATCAACGCGATTAGTTCGCTCGCCGGCGTCCCCGGCGTAAGAAAGGATAGAGTTACGGTTTCGTTTTACAGCGCGCCCTCGGACTTCAGGGTCGATTCCTGCGGGGCACGCCGTCGCTCGCTTTTATGTTTCCGTCCGGAAATTGTCATCTGAAATAATAAAAACAGATTTTAATTCGGCTTCCATTCCCGAATCTTTTTTATTCGCTTGAAATCCCATCAACTATTTTTATCCATTCGGAAAACATGATTGCTCTCCTGATTCGCCACGAGCAATAAAAAAAACAAACAAACCGCAATTTAATCATTTACATTAATAGTATTAAATACTGACATCTCGAAAGAAAGTGACTTTAAATCTGTAAGCAGGGATGATTAGTTGAGCACTGCGCTGTCATGTTCGCTGGCAGTTGTGGGTCGTTAGCAAAAAACCTCGCTCGCTGGCTTTATGTTTTACTGCCGGCGACGGCAGTATTGTACAACAGCTTGTCTCGTTATTTAATTTGCGTCCGTATGCAGCGCGAGCGCAATCTTTGTGTCTATTGTTTTCAAATAAATACGCGCGCATTGCAATTTGATCGCGTGGTGTGCAGCTTGCTTCTGGTTTTTATTGTTTATGTTGATCTTCTCCGTATTGATGTTTTTCTTCGTTTAATAACAGAATAAAAGCGCTGCGGATGGCAAAGAACTTCGGTTGTTTGTCATCTTGGCTTGTTGCTGCGTCGGCGAGTCTGTCTTCCCGACAGCTTTGACACCGGGCGTGCGCCGCCTCCGCAAAACTCCAATACGCTTCAATTACAAGGCGTAAATATCAACGTTTTGATGGAAAACTTTGCAATCCACTATGTTCTTTATTGTTTTTATTCTGCAGAATTTTAATGATTAATAGATGGATGTGTGTGTTGTTTAAACGACCAATTTCGGAAAGGAAATTAATTTAATTTGACTTTAATTAACTCCGAGCGCGTTCTGAGGATAGTTGGTTGAATAAGTAATGCGTAAAGTGGCGTGGACGTTTTAAGAAGTTGCGCGTTGAGGCTGTGGCGGTGGCGGGCGCGGCCATCTCTCGCATGCCCCGCGGCGCTTATTTGCTTATTTAGTTCGCGCGCATATTTTTCGCCGCCGTGAACAATATAATCAAACCAAACAGGCCCGGCGCCTGCCTCTTACGTTTGTGCACTCGGCGTCCGCGCTTCGTTACGCCGTCGTCGCCACCACCGCCGCCACGGCTGCGCCTTTCTCGGCTTGAATATCAACGAGCATATGGACGGCGCGGCGCGGGCAACGTAACAGCTTCGTTATATTTTCATTATATTTCCGGCCGACTGAGCCATAAACCACCCGGCTGTTTTCTTGTTTCTTTGCGCGCTCTTTGGCCGCTGCCGCCGCCGCCGCCGCCGCGCCCTGCTTAATGCTACGTGCATCGAAAGCCAGCCGCTTCTTGCCGGCATCCGTAGCGCGCAGCATTAGCCGCGGCAACTGCAAGAGGACATGCAAACGAACTTGTGCTGTTGTGGGGAGTGGGCGCACAAGCAAATAACCGGCGCAATGTGCGCCGAATATAAAATGGAGCGGTGCCGGCCCCGCAAAACCGCGTCGCATAAATATTTCATTAACATCATCGTCGAGTACCGGTAGATTCGACTTTTTATCTCCTCTGTCTCTTGTGCTTATGCTGCATCCGGATTGTGCTGCGACAGCGTTCTTCAAAATTTGCCACAAGAGCACACTGCAGGACACACAGCGACCTACATTTCAACCCGACCCAACCGCACCTTCACCCTTGTGCACTTACCTTTGAATATTCTGCAACCGCCGCCCAGACTGGCCCAGTCAGCCATCAATAATCAATATTATCAATCATAATTAATGCACGCGGGGCGGTTACCACGTCAGAATTTCGAACTCAAAATTCAGCACGAGATCTTTGGACAGGTTTTGTTTATTTTTTCTCGGCGCGCACTACTTGCTAGTGATTTAATATGCGCGATAATCTGCGTAGTACGATGGCAGGCGGCGGCGGATAGGCTTTTATGTGCATTCAGCCGCCAGCCAAGACGCGGCCGCCGCGCTCAACGCAGTGACGCGCGCCCCGAAAGCATCTTTGCCATCTTAATATTAATTTTAATCAAATTAGTTTACGCTTCCTGCACATTCTTATTGGCTTTTGCATCGCTACGCTCGCGTTCTTCAACGGGCGGCTTCAATACTTTCACATCTCTGCGTCTTGCTTCGCGCATTCTTCCTTCGTTTATGACCGGTGTTAGTCTCGACTTCCTTATTACTCATGATGTTCGACGACGTTTATGAGTTTTTTTTCTGTGCGCGCTTCCGTCTGCGTCATATCCTAATAAAAATTATTAAATATTAACAAAAGGCTGCGCGTGCAGATGGAGATTGCGATATTTCCGAGGATGGATCTTATCAAAGCAGTGGAGAAATTAAAAAGTCAAGATCAAGCAGATTTGTGTATTTCAACGTATTTCCGACAGAGGCGAAGCCAAAGTATACGTTGCGCAATTTCTAGACATTCCTTACAACTTTATTTTTTAAAATAGCTTTCAACATTATTAAATTGTTCAATAAATAATTAGTTTTCGAGCTGAAATACTCCACGACCTGGACTTGATAGGCTTTGCAAGATAAGCAATGCTGAAGTAATGCGCTTACCTGAACGTTTCAAAGTCGAATTATTGTTTGGATGGTTAATATTGTTCTTAATAAGTTGATTGTTTTCCGGTCTGGGCATCCTGCGGCTTAATAACAAAGTCGATTTTTATCGGCCGATGTCACCGGCATATGCTCGAAGGACCACGCCGCCGAGTGCAATTCTCCGATCGTCCGAGCGATACTCGAAAGGATAAACGAAAGATAGCAATATATTGTCAAGGACGTCGATGATACCTCGGCTCGACGGGCGAATCCGAAAGTCGAGCGTCGCGTAACATTGACTTACGTCGCGTTACGTAAAGCCGTGGCGGGCGCGGGGATGCCGTGCGGCGTCGAGTATCACGGGATCGGCGCGGGCGGACGCCGGAGCGAAAAGTGGCCGGCCAGATAGGGATAAGGACCAGGAATCGAAGGATGCGATTCGTTTGACGACGCGCGACCG